AATATTTCACATCCTCTTCAAGAACATTTGGGATGAGGAACAAGTACCATCAGATTGGAAAGAAGGATACCTGATCAAAATACCAAAGAAAGGCGATCTCAGCAAGTGTGACAACTACAGGGGCATCACTTCTTTCGATACCAGGCAAAGTCTTCAACAGGATATTGTTAAACAGAATGAAGGACTTAGTAGACGCCCAACTTCGAGATCAACAGGCTGGATTTCGTAAGGATCGATCGTGTACCAACCAAATTGCAACACTACGGATCATTGTGGAACAGTCAATTGAATGGAACTCACCACTCTACATCAACTTCATCGACTACGAGAAGGCATTCGATAGCGTGGACAGGAAAACACTGTGGAGGCTTCTTCGACACTACGGTGTGCCTGAGAAGATAGTTAACATCATACGGAATTCTTATGATGGATTCAACTGCAAAGTCGTACACAAAGGACAGCTAACAGACTCATCGGTGGTGAAGACCGGTGTCAGGCAAGGTTGCTTACTCTCACCCTTTCTCTTTCTCCTGGTGATTGACTGGATTATGAAGACTTTCAGCATCTGGAGTGAAGCACGGTATCAACTGGACGATCTGGACTTCGCAGATGACCTTGCTCTTCTGTCGCACACGCAACAACAAATGCAAGAGAAGACGACCAGCGTAGCAGCAGTAGGCCTCAACATACATAAAGGAAAAAGCGAAATTCTCCGATGCAACACAACATGCACCAACCGAATCACGCTTGATGGAGATGCCTTGGAGGACGTTAACACCTTCACATATCTTGGCAGCATCATCGACGAGAAAGGTGGATCCAATGCAGATGTGAGGGCGCGGATTGGCAAAGCAAGAGCTGCATTTCTACAGTTGATAAATATCTGAAACTCCAAACAACTTTCAACCAAAACCAAAATCAGGATTTTCAATACAAATGTGAAGACAGTTCTACCGTATGGAGCGGAAACTTGGAGAACTACAAAAGCCATCATCCAGAAGATATAAGTGTTTATTAACAGTTGTCTACGCAAAATACTTTGTATTCGTTGGCCAGTCACCATCAGTAACAACGTTCTGTTAGAGAGAACAAACCAGATTGCAGTGTAGGAGGAAATCAGGAAGAAGCGGTGGAAGTGGATAGGACAGACACTATGAAAGCACCCAACTGCGTCACGAGACAAGCCCTCACATGGAACCGTGAAGGCAAAAGGAAAAGAGGAAGGACGAGGAACACATTACGCCGACAAATAGAGAAAGATATGAGAAGAATGAACAAAAATTGGGCAGAACTGGAGAGGGAAGCCCAGGACAGAGTTGGTTGGAGAAAACTGGTGGGCGGCCTATGCTCCATTGGGGGTAACAGGCGTAAGTAAGTAAGTAAGTAAGTAAGTAAGTAATACTTAAAAAGATATAAAAAAGTGACGAGGAAATCAGAAGATAAGAATTTGAGAGAAGATCAAGAATTTATGCACTTGCATCATTACAAACGATTGTGCCCCATAATATTCAAAGTATCTGACCAGCAGTTACTATCGTCCCACGGACTCCATCACCTACCTACGTACGCCTAAAAATATCACTCAATACATTGTCACAAAATTATGATTCACTTTATATGTATTCTCCAATTTTTATTTCAAATTACCTTTCAAAATATGTAAATTCGCATCACCAATATTTGAAACAATTAAATTTAGTTTGTCTCTAATGAATATAGAGAAAAAACCTCTATGAAAAAGTCTCGAATCTTAGTAATGACGTTAACATTGATCGACAAATGTTTCGTTATTACGAGATCGTTTATCATTTGAAAGAGATGAATCGTGGTTAGCACTGGAAATCAGCACATACATTACGTTGTTTTTGGGACTATATACTTAAATATAACTGCATCGAAGGGTGGATTTTAACATTCACAGACGAACACTTTCACCTCTATTCGTTATACACTAAGTTAGTTAGTCCAGTTCTTTATAAGTTAGAATCCATTGGCTTCATAACTTGTCATTCAGTCATCACTTCATCAGTGAACATTGTTTTTTTGGTCTCTTTATGTTAAACACTGGTATAATTCGTATCAAGTGTATTTGGTTGTTGAGTTCATTTAGAAAATAACTCATCACTGTAGAAAATGTATTCATAACTAAGATCAAGGCGGGAATTTCCTCCTAAACAAGTTATCATTCGACTATTAATGTCAATCTATCTAGTAAGCAATGAATATATATCGGAGTATCTGATTGAGAAAGTCACATTTGATGTGCATACTAAGCAAAACCATTTGGTCTCCTCATTTAACTAACCTTCGTCACATTAGAAATCATTTTGTTTTTTCTTTCAAAGCAGTTCGTCCATCAAGTTTCATTTATTCTCTGAAAAGCTGAAATTCTCCCTAACTGTTAATCAGTCGGGCACACATTAGTCTACATAAGTTGTCATTGATTATTTATGAATGCATAGAATTCATTACTGATCAATCACTTTGATCAAAATTTCTCTATGTTTATATCTGAATTATTTTGTATTCAGGTTGGATGGAAGATTACGAGTCTCGTCCCACATTTATTGAACTTATGCGTACATTTAATACATTTTGCAAAACGCCTGGACGTTATCTATACATCGAAGTAAGCTTCAAATGGAAATAAAAATCCATTGTATATTGTGTCATTGTTATCAATTACACTTCTATCATATTTCAATGCATCTATCTATTAGTTTCTATTTATCAAAATTACAATCCTTTATATCAAACAAGTAATTTTAGTTTTTCCAATTTTATTCATTAAATATGCATTAGTTTTATTACAGAAAATGAACATATATATCTAAGAGAGGTTCTCTCATTAATAAAATGATCCCTTTCATTTATTCGGATATCTTTTCACTTATGCATTGAAGTGAATAACAAACAAACTAATTTGTTGTTGCATGTGTGTGTTTTATTCAACAACTCTTTTGGTCAATTTTACAACCGAATTCTAGATGACTGCGTTTGTAGACTTGATTACTAAATGTTAAAACAAGTATAATTGATGTGTGTTTAAAGGTGAATTGTTGGCGTACTATTTGGCTCAGCTTGTGCTCTGAATAATTAAATTCAGAAATTCTTTCTATTACATCATATATTCACACGTTCCATTCATGGACTGCATACCTTATAAGACACTAATTCATATTTTAACCACCAGTATAGATAGAATGAGCTAAGAATAGTAAATTGTCGTCAGTTTCTGTCGCATTTAGAAGTTACTTCATCATTCATGATGCATTAACATATATACTAAAATGTATAGTGAATTTTACTTCAAAGTGTATGCTTTCATAAAATTTCAAGCTGTTTGTTGTATCGAACTTTCTAACAGAAAAGTATGTGGAAGCTCAGCGAAACATTTCACCTTGATATTCCAGTTACGAAAATCATGGAAATCAAGATAACTAATCAGCAAGTCAGTCAGTTACAAAAGTATGTGGAAGCTCAGCGAAACATTTCACCTTGATATTCCAGTTGCGAAAATCATGGAAATCAAGATAATTTTTTAGCAAGTCAATAAATCGCAACGTAGAACTTCGCACATCAATACCAGAAGTAGTAGAAATATTATTAGCAGTAATCGGAGAGATTAGGGTTTGAGGATATTATTCAAGAAGTAGAATCTAGTGAAATAAACGTGAAAAGAAAAATATAAAGGTGAAGAGGAGCTCTGAAGGTTATGATTTGAGAGGACACATAGTATGGATGCATCAGCTCCATTACAAACGGTTTTGAGCTATGTCATTCGAGGTCTCTAACCATCGGTTATTATCATGTTGCCGGCCTAACCCAGGTAGTCTACATCTACCAACATGACTCAATGCAGTTGTCAGTGACTTCATGGATTTTTGCGATGGTTCGGTTTGGCTGCCACTAGCTTTCGTCTAACTTATTCCCACACCACAAAACGGGGCATTCGGTGGTTGTGTATACGCAACGAATGTCCCAAACACGTCAACTGATGAAGTTTCACTACTTCACCAATCAATCTGCCGTCATTCCTAAGTACCATTTTTCCAACCGCAGCACTGGTCACACTATGGCTTCAGGATATACGAGCAATTCTTCTATTAACACACAAATATCCTCTATTATTAGTGGCCATGTTTCATACTTGTATGTTGGGGCAGAGAGAACTGTTGATCAGTAAACTCATCCTTTGTTAAGCTGACGGATATCTTGTCTGAGCCGTGACGCAGGTTGGTCAAAGCTAGTCAAACACCAGGCCATGAGAACTGATGGGATTGCCAAGATAAGCTAGGCAGTTAACGCGCTAAACTACTTCACTGCCTATTTCTAGTAAGTTCGCCGACGTAAGCCAAACTTGAAGCAACATCTTGCATTTCGACTAGGTGTATCACATCCTGAACATGCTTGCATTGTTGCTTGTCGTGGTCAGAAGACTCTGCATTTGATCAGCGTATTTATCAGATAGAATATGTTATCGGTCGATTACAGGTCAACAAAAGATTGTTCCGTTAGAAGGTTAGCTTCTGAAAAGTTAGACGATGAACGTATCGTCTCTAAGATGTATCTTACAAATTGTACTGTGAGGAACGGCAACGAGTGAATGTCTGTATGATGTGAAGAGTCGAAAAGTAGTTTTGAGCCTCGTTTTTTTTTAAGGTAAACAAATATGATTTTTTTAATGAAACGAGAGGAATCCAATTTCAGGGTCGTGGATTTTAAACCTGGTCTTTAATAGACTGTAGGGATGTAATAAAACTCCACAAATCATATTCACAATAGTGATTTTCCTTCAGTTTCGACATATTTTGACACCATACACGTAATGACTTATTCACACTCAATACAGATATTACTTTCAGGTGACAGTTGAGACAAGGTTATAGTGCCCTTCATATTGAAACTTTCCATCCAGGGTAAAGTATTTTTATAAATTTAGTTTTGCTACTTTAAATTATTTTAGTAGGCAGTGAGTTTTAAAAAAATACTTGTCTCAATTTTTCGGTTTGACGATGATTGTAAAGTGCATAAAATATTTATTAGATTTGTTTAAAAAATAACGAGGATTGAAATGACAGCGAAGTGAATGATTTTTATTTACATTAAAAGTCGTCGAGTTCAACAATAAATGCATCCCAAACATAAACTCGTTCAAAACATGTTTGATTTATGAAGCTGTGTTTGCAAAGTCCTTATTACTATTAAGAAATTCATAAATATATATATATATATGTCTTCGTACTTCTAGTTTTTGTTTATTTTGGAAACAGTGAAAGATGCATATACGACAGTTCAACATACAGTTTTAGTGAATGCATAGACAAGCAAGCGGTTACAAATAAAGTTGAGTAGTTTTCGGGACGACAAATACCTGAAATAGACAAGAAGCAGTAGTATGAAGTAATTGTTTGCTAGAAATGCTATTAGGAAGCAGTATGTACCTGTTTATGTATAATCAATACATTGGAATTTAAAAATAAGGAAGGAGAAGGTAACATCATTATTAAAATACATCTCTGTTTTTTCTTATGGTATGATTGTTTTGCATACATGTTTGACCATATCTTCAATCTTTGAAGAAATATCAGTACCTATCATCACAACGAAGGAACCATACAAAACTCAATGTGTATACATTTGTGCATTTACTTCTGGAGTGTATGAACACTGCTTATTTTTAATTTAATCTATATAGTTTTCATGAATACGATAAATTTTAAGATGAAAATAGCAGGAAATAACAGAAAAATACAGAGGTACTGATGAATCATTTTGAAATGAACAGTAAGTTGTTTTCCGTTATCCTGGTGGTAGTGGTTGTTGTCTCAATATTTTCAGTTAGTATGATTCATCAATACTGAAAAGAAACCAAGGAATCTTCATGTATAAACAAAACGAACAGAGAAAGGTAAATAAAAACAAAAACTGACAAGAAGAAATATAAGCAATAATTTTGATATTAATTAGTAGAATTTGTTTTAATAATGAACTTGTTTAAAGTGAAAAGGAACTGCTTCGACAAAGCCACAGTAACACAACATATATGATAACACTAAACAGTGAATAAAATAAAAGGATTTATTTTTGATCCGTTTTATCCTGAAATTTTATTGGGGAATTCGAATTGCCAGCAGGATTTGTGCTTTGTGTTAATAATGTATTTGGATTTTGATGTTGTTGTTGTAGTTGACTGAATGATTGCATTAAATATTCTGGATTGGTTACGCTAAATCCACTAGATATGGGAGATAAGTACTCTTCTAATGGTTGCGTATTCGGACTTAAATATTCATCTGAAAAAAATGCAGAAAAGTAAATTCAATCAACAGAGCAGACAAAAATAGCCTTATCGGTTTACTTTTTTTTATAATAATTTAGCAGAAATTGTTTTATAAACTAAAGCACCATAGAGCTTAGCACCTCACTGGTTTAGTTCTGAGAGCTGATATTCGTAGTTGTGTCATACAAAAAGGTGTTAGAGACATAAACAATTCAACTGCTATATTTTCAAATGTGGAATTGAATAATGGGAGTTTTGTACTGGTTTATACAGTTTATGACTGCCATATGATTGTTTCCACATATTTTATACTGATTTATTGCAAAGGAAACTATCAATGACCATGAAACGATGATTTTTACTGTTTTTTAAACTCCAGTTATCGATCACTCCTATCTGAGACTCGATATCACATCTTATTTTTTCATTTTTTACTGCTAATTCCAATATTCCATTCAAATATATGACAGCGTGGTTTGTCAAGTTTTGCAAGTAACCCGTTTCGTCATTACCAGCACGGTGATAAAGACCGAATATATGATGAAATGTACATTTGAACGTGAGGATATATATCATAAGTACAATTAGGCTTATAATTTGTAATCCATTGAATGCAAAGTGGTACACCAAGGTAATCAACAGTTAAGCTTGACTTTTCAAACTGATTTACTTGTTTTAAATATATGTATGGCGTTGTGAATTTCTTGCAGGTTGATGAAACTTCAAGTTAACCAGGTGTTCGTTAAATAATTCAGCTTTATGTTTAGTCGGCAAATGAGACAAAGTAATTGTTTTCTTTTGAGAATTTACACAGAATTAATTTAGCGTCAGATCTGATGAACACTCATCATTTAGGAGTAAGTAGGTTATAAAGAAACTTTGCATTATACCAATACAACTCAGACAATTGATAAACAATATTAGAGACTTTGAGCCCAAAGTTAGTTAAGCTTCTAGTAAAGCTCCAGCTGATTGGATTGTATTCACGAGATAATCAAAAGTCAGTAACCAGTCATATATTACTAATCTTATTCAATGGAATTCACCAATTAGCGAATAATAATGTGAACTTTGAAAAGATGAATTAATGATACAGGGGATATTAAGAGGTCAAGTTTATTCTTATGTATAACTGTAATAAAACCAAACCAAAGTGGTGAAATGGATCACTTATAATGTACGATATACATAACTGAACACAAACCTCTAGATGCAGAATCGTTGGAAACCATTGCCGGACCCAGTTCAGTGTAGTTCATCGATTTCGACAATGCACTACTGTATGGATTTGATGTATTTTTAGGATTTTTAATTTTCGGTTGTAAATAGTCATCTGGTAAGCCATGTGTTACAGGTGGTGGTGGTGGGGGCGGCTCAAGCAGATAGTCGGAAACACTATTTTTTCTAAAATTATTTGATGGATTGTCATCCGTAAGTGAATGGAATTTATTGCTCATGTCATCGAGATTTTTACCACTGAAATTAAACTGATTACTTGATTGATTATAAGAAGGTGATACTCCTGACCATTCCGAAGTTTTCGCTGTGGTAGAAATTGTAGCGGGGTCAGATAAGCCAGCAGAACTAAGTGATTCAGGATGATCTGACTGCTTGGGCATATCGTTCAACCATGAATCCTCTCGAGTAGCCAAAGGAGCCTTGTGCTGCCTCGTCAAACCTGATTTAGTAGTAATAATGATTGTTAAAATAAGAAAAATATACAGGAAATTAACAACTCATGTAGTGCTGAAGAGTTGAGTTATGTGTTTTTTTCAATTTCACTAATCTGTAGTTTTTGTCTGATCATTAAGCTCCCCCTAGTTACAAGTGTAATATTTTGATTTCTACTCTAAATGCCTTATTTTACTGTTTCTAGCGGTCTGTAGGTCTACGCATTTAGTTATCTATCCATCGGACTGACTCAGATTTGAAGTATTTCCATTACAGTTATATCCTCTTCCGCCAGCCATTTAGAATCCACGTAGCAGATTATGTAATAGGATAGGTCCCGATCAGTTTTGTGAGAATTAAACACACAGATTGAACTTCAAGATTACACTAAGTAGCCTGTCACACCAAAAACGTTTGCCCAGTTTTCTGAGACAACTTTTCTGCATATCTAGAAATTGAGCAATAATGACGATAACATTAATAATTGTGATAGAACCTTTATTCAGCACTAAAAAATTTTGTTGCTGCAAGAAAGTGACAACAACAGTTGTGCATTATTGTAGTAAATTTTGTTTTAACATCTAGGTTGTCATCATTCAAACATTATACATTCATTTGTAATAACAAAAGTGCTTTTAGGATACTGATTAAAACTATTTTTGCAATGATTGCAAGAAGTAGTCATTTCGATCAGAATATGTTCTATTATTTCGTTTCAACTACAGAATTGTTACAGCGACTCCAACAAACAAATAATATGTTTCTTAGAATTCGCATTTTGGTGTGCTTTAATTGTTATTGTGACGTTATATTACGTCAACTTGGTCTTCTAAGCCTTTAGTTCAAAAGAGCTAGGAAAACTAATTGACCCTCTAGATCAGATGAAAAAGATTCGAACTGTTCATTATTTTCCATCAATTCAGTGAAATGTATAACACACACACAAACACCGTGTTCATCAAAAAATCACTGAAATTTAAAAATGTGTACAGTAGTTTACATTCAGAATAAACAAAAAGCGGCGAGTATATTCTCTATCTAATCTAGGAAAAAAAGAATTGAAATTTATGCAATCTTCACAAACTATCTACTGGCGACGTAAGTTTCCGGTTGCAAATAGGACAGGATAGAAATTAAGTGGTCTATATTTTGAATCAATTGATAATATTAATGTTAAACATCGGTCCTCTCTACAAAGCATATTTTGTACTCATGACTAGAAAAAAAATTACACGACAGAATTAGTTTACTAGGGAAACTTTTGTTAAAGACATATATGAAAGAATTTCCTGTGTGATATAGATTAGATCATATTACCAATATATGATTATGAAGTGTAAGATGTATGAATAAAATAAATATTATAGTTTATGGTTAAAATGAAGAGATGATAAAAATGAAATCGCGCATCAAACTTGAAAATTATTCTTACTTGCATTATCTGAGTTGACCTTCTCATGAACGTTTGATCTCTTCCATATTCTGCCTAGTCCTGAAAAATTTGTATCAGAGGTATTTGATGAAGCTCCAGCTCCGACTCCACGCTGTCTTCCTTGCCAGGCAGAATGGTTTCCAACATTACCGTTATTCGATCGAACGGGGAGCAAAAGCTCTGTTTCTGTAGGTTCATTGGTTTGACCAACAGAAAATGGATCTGATCTTTCACTTGGTTGGTCCGATAAAGCTCTAAGTAGCTTTCCTGAAGAATATGGTCTATTCATACTTGGTTCTGTTAATATGGTATGATGACGGTGTAAACTATTATTCCTGTGCGGTACTGTATCTCCATCAGGAACTCCACGTAAAGACAACATAGGCTGAAGTTCATGAGACTCAGATGAAAATTTCCCTGAACTTGAATTTGTATTATGAAAGTAATTGAGTGCATATTGATCACCCTATGTAATAAATTTTAAAATACTTTTGTTAATCACTTTAAAATTATTATACAAAGACAAGAAAACAAATGATGTGAAAGTGTTGAACAACAAAGCGACAAATCAATACAGAAGACAGATATTTCGGAAGTCGAATTGAGTTATAATGTGCGTTGTAAATTGTATGCAGATTTGCTAGATCTAATCAGATGAAAAGTAGACAAAAAAAGACTCCCTGACGTTCTATTTTTACTATTTCTGATTTGTGACACGAATTTAAACAGTTCGAGGGAAATTATTTTGTGAATATTATAATCTAAATCCATTAAGAATCAGGTTAGCAACAGCAGAGTGATACATGTAAATGGTGAGTTCGCAAAACCGTCAACTATGAAATGATACTCTCTATCTATCTATAGCAGGACAAAGACAACAACGAAAGCAGTTCAAAAGTAAATAGCGATCAAGTATAGCCAGATATTTGTTAAACTAATAAGAGTGATAGATATAGTTACACTGCTTTCGATTCAGGTATTTTGTTAAAATCGGCCTATGATGGTAAGTTTTAAAGAGTATGCTACTGACAACTGAGAAACTATAAAACTATAAAAAAATGAAAATACATCACTGTGAATTATTGGGAATGCAAAATGTTACTTGAGGATTTAGGCTGAATCGGCACCTGAACTACTGATAGGGAGTGAAGTAGTTGAGCATGTTGACCGCGTCACTTATCTCGGGAGTCTCATCAAAGCTGATGGCCTGGTGTGTGACGAAATCTCAGCATGGGTACACAAAACTCGACTGGTTTTCATCAACTTGCGTCATTTACGACATTCGCAAGATATCCGTCTATTAAACAAAGGACAAGTGTACTGCACACTCCTACTTTATGGCTGTCAAAAATAGCCAGTCACAGTAGAAGAAATTGGTAGGTTACTGGTTTTCGATCATAGGTGTCTCCGAATCGTTGCTCTTATATCCTGGGACTATCGAGTAAGCAATGCTGCCGATAAGAAACGAGTGCCAGATAGGGATGGTAGATCAATAGATGAAGTAGTGAAACTTCATCAGTTGAGGTGGTTGGGACATGTATTACGATTACACAACCACCGACTAGCTCGAAGAGCTATGTTTTATGGTGTAGTAAGGTTAGACGAAAGCTAGTGGGGACCGAACCAAAACATGGCACAAATCCATGAAGTCACTGACAACTGCATTGAGTCATGATGGTAGATGTAGACTACCTGGGTTAGGCCAGCAACATGATAATAACCGATGGTTAGAGACCTCGAATGACATAGCTCAAAACCGTTTGTAATGGAGCTGATGCATCCATACTATGTGTCCTCTCAAATCATAACCTTCAGAGCTCCTCTTCACCTTTATATTTTTCTTTTCACGTTTATTTCACTAGATTCTACTTCTTGAATAATATCCTCAAACCCTAATCTCTCCGATTACTGCTAATAATACTTCTACTACCTCTGGTATTGATGTGCGAAGTTCTACGTTGCGATTTATTGACTTGCTGAAAAATTATCCTGATTTCCATGATTTTCGTAACTGGAATATCAAGGTGAAATGTTTCGCTGAGCTTCCACATACTTTTGTAACTGACTGACTTGCTGATTAGTTATCTTGATTTCCATGATTTTCGTAACTGGAATATCAAGATGAAATGTTTCGCTGAGCTTCCACATACTTTTCTGTTAGAAAGTTCGATACAACAAACAGCTTGAAATTTTATGAAAGCATACACTTTGAAGTAAAATTCACTATACATTTTAGTATACATGTTAATGCATCATGAATGATGAAGTAACTTCTAAATGCGATAGAAACTGACGACAATTTACTATTCTTAGCTCATTCTATCTATACTGGTGGTTAAAATATGAATTAGTGTCTTATAAGGTATGCAGTCCATGAATGGAACGTGTGAATATATGATGTAATAGAAAGAATTTCTGAATTTAATTATTCAGAGCACAAGCTGAGCCAAATAGTACGCCAACAATTCACCTTTAAACACACATCAATTATACTTGTTTTAACATTTAGTAATCAAGTCTACAAACGCAGTCATCTAGAATTCGGTTGTAAAATTGACCAAAAGAGTTGTTGAATAAAACACACACATGCAACAACAAATTAGTTTGTTTGTTATTCACTTCAATGCATAAGTGAAAAGATATCAGAATAAATGAAAGGGATCATTTTATTAATGAGAGAACCTCTCTTAGATATATATGTTCATTTTCTGTAATAAAACTAATGCATATTTAATGAATAAAATTGGAAAAACTAAAATTACTTGTTTGATATAAAGGATTGTAATTTTGATAAATAGAAACTAATAGATAGATGCATTGAAATATGATAGAAGTGTAATTGATAACAATGACACAATATACAATGGATTTTTATTTCCATTTGAAGCTTACTTCGATGTATAGATAACGTCCAGGCGTTTTGCAAAATGTATTAAATGTACGCATAAGTTCAATAAATGTGGGACGAGACTCGTAATCTTCCATCCAACCTGAATACAAAATAATTCAGATATAAACATAGAGAAATTTTGATCAAAGTGATTGATCAGTAATGAATTCTATGCATTCATAAATAATCAATGACAACTTATGTAGACTAATGTGTGCCCGACTGATTAACAGTTAGGGAGAACTTCAGATTTTTAAGGAAAGTGAATGAAACTTGATGAACTAACTGCTTTGAAAGAAAAAACAAAATGATTTCTAATGTGACGAAGGTTAGTTAAATGAGGAGACCAAATGGTTTTGCTTAGTATGCACATCAAATGTGACTTTCTCAATCAGATACTCCGATATATATTCATTGCTTACTAGATAGATTGACATTAATAGTCGAATGATAACTTGTTTAGGAGGAAATTCCCGCCTTGATCTTAGTTATCAATACATTTTCTACAGTGATGAGTTATTTTCTAAATGAACTCAACAACCAAATACACTTGATACGAATTGTACCAGTGTATTTTTATCATCGTGTCTATTTCTTTTGCTTTCACTGAGTTTTTATGTTTCTTTCTGAACTGCATTTATGTTGTTTAAGCTGATACTTAGTCATGGCAAGAGCCATTTTGATTTGTTACTCTTTTGATTGTGTTGCTTGCTTGGGCTGGATATTGTGCATTTTGATTGTGAATTGAGGCGCTCTTCCAGAATAGGAAACACTGTGTTATGAAGCAAACAAATATTATCTTTCAAATGAATGTGATCTATCCAGAAAGGATAGAATAACATTTATTTGTTGCTGTTGATTTGACTAGTTGAAAATTTGTCGGTGGAATAACTGAGTGGTAATATTTGTTTAGGTAATGATGTACATTCATATTTATGATGAATATTAGGACCGTTATTTACTCAAATCACTTGTTTCGGATTCAACTGGGCAAGGCGCGTTTCTAAACAACCTAGACAGTTATTCCTCAGTACAAACTTCAGTTTGGATCCTACAAGTGTACCGAGCATCTAATTAATAAATCATTGAAAGAGCTTCAAAATATTTATTTTGATACCATAAATATTCATGTCATCACGAAAACGTATGCGGTACTGTGCATATTGTTACCACTATTATATTATTAATTTTACCGTGCATAATGTACGTATTTCACTTACATTTCACTAATACCATATAAACATCCAAAGTGCATATGTCAGGTTGTGTCAGACGTCCACCTTTGATCACGTGGTCTTTGATATCTACCGTGTCCACATCTTCATATGGTCGTTTTCCAAATGTAAATATTTCCCATAATGTCACACCTGATAAAAGTAAACATTTATTTAGTCGGTAAGAGAAATTTCCAATGTTCACCTGGCGGCTAAGAGGAATTATTATTAGGGTAGAGAAAAATTTTATATGAACATTGTGTACTAATTCAAAACAAACTAGAGAAATGATTGAAGAAAGACAGATCACTTTTTTCTTTTGACATTTTTATCGCGTGGACAATTTGATCAGTAGTAATTACTATTCAATTAGATTAACAGAATTTCGAAAGCACAAAAGTACTTTTGTTAGAAAAAAGAAGACAGTCAAAATATCTTGGACATTTTTCACTGATCAATTACTATAATTTCAAAAATATCTGGTACTAATTTGAAAAAGAATTGAAAAACTGGTCCCTTTATCATTTCTTTGGAGAATACATATAAAATGAATCAGGGCTTTGTGTCTGTGTTAGTCCAAATTGAATAAAATTTGGTGAGCATCATTTTAGACCTTATGCATGCATAGAAAGTAGGCTTAAAATATGCATATGTTCATTCTGAAGAAAACTATTTCCTTTGTCTTACACAGTCACTGGTAACCTAACACCAATCAGCGTGCAAAACTGATTTAAACTCCTTTAAATTCTAACTACTAATAATTGCAAATAAAACAGGAAAATGAGTGCATTTAATCACAAATTTTGTTCTGTTCATGATGTCGAATAAATCCTCATCTCTTTGCATCCTTGAATTTTACTTTGCATAGGGCTACCTTCAATTTTATTCGGCTATGACAATTGTTCACAATGAAAGTCAATATTAAGAAGGATATCCCTAAAATCAAGTCAGTTCTTCCTAAATACGGTACAGGATGAGAAATAAAGGGCTATAAGAAAGTTAGCTGTGAAACTAGAATTGTGCTACTATTTAAAGCTTGGATGTTTAGAGTATTTATTATTTATTAAGTTTTGGCATTCTCTATCAGTGATCATCGGTAGAGTGTATACTTTGAATAGTGTAATTCGATTGAATTGACATTCTGAGGATTTTTCAGACCTTTTAAATCTAAATAGTGACAGCTTATCTGAATAAATGCTCATAATTTGTATAATCCTGTTCTATAAAATCATATATATCTAGATTGAAATCCAATCCATAGAACATCGAAACAGCCGTTCAAGTGTTGTTTCAACATGATTTTACAAATAACTATTCATTCTGAGTGTGAATTATCACACTACTACTATTTTACAGTAGCATATGTCATTTAAAAGAATTTTATTCTCTACACTCGTTTCAAAAAATCGATTTAAACGCTTTATGCCTTTATTTACTCAATATGAATTTGTAAATATTGACACACTAGTGAAGCAAATATAACTGCTAAGGCAACAAATGTACAATCAAACAAATGACTTCATCTTAAAATGTGAATTGTATTGTGAAATCACAAAGCGCACATAGATCAGCAGATTGTATGCTGTTTTTTCGTTTTTCTATAGGGTTAGTATAACTATTTATTTCAAACCCAAGTTGGATGCTCTTCAGTATTTGTTTATTTTTAAAGTTCAGCTTATATATATAAATAAACGTTTTTGAAATAGTATTTCTGAACTAACTTCTCAAGAGAAAAATATTTGACTGATCGCTTTCACTGAATATGATCATAGAGTTAGAAAGGTACATTAAAATAGCATGTGTTATAGACGGATAAACTTATAGTAGATTTTGGAATATTCAGATGGACACTGAAGATGCACTTAACACAACCATTTTGAGTTAAACGTGATAAATGCAATTCATTTCATTTGCCCACATGACTCTGAGTCAGTGGGTAAAATGAGGGCATCCAAAGTAATTGGAGAATGTAGTTTTTGTAATGAAGCTGTGAGTTAATCACTAAATGTATGTTACTACCGTCCAAAATGAATGCTTCCTTCATACCTTATTCACGCAACCTTTTCAAATTGAGGATGTTTATTCTTAAAAAATTTGGATTCTTGTGAAACATTGTAGAATCAAGATGCATGAAGTGATAATGACCCATATATATATATATAAAGAACATAAAATGAATGCTTGTGAAATTCCTTATCCAGTAAAAAAAAAACTAGTCTAGTATCTACTACATAAATTAAGAGTTTATAAAACACTTATCAGTCAAAATGTAGACACATCAGATTAAAGTGACATTTACAATCAAATCTCTTAAAAATCAATTGTTGCAGACAAAATCTGTATTCATGATTGTAAAGTTTGCATAGGTTATAATGTATCACTGGAAAATAAACGAAAACTAATTTATTCACCTTTTTACGTTTCTATAGTGAACATTAAAATTTAATAAAATGCGTAAACGTGTTCCCAACTAAACATACTAAGTGTCTGCTATGGCCGATGTAGAATCAGCATTTGAGAAGTAAGATAAATGGTTTAATAATTGAACTTTCATTGTCTTCCCCGTTAATATTATCAGCATACACTTCAAAAAGAAGTATGAGCTGATGATGTTTTTGTCTAGAAAGACAATCAAAGCTGTATGACTACGCCATCTAGCTCACTGAATATGAAAACTTCCAAAAACACCTTGATACTCTATGATGGATAAATTAAAATTAAAGCATAGTTCAGCTTTCATCAAAAATATTTCTTTGTTTAGAATTCATAAGTAATCTAGCAAATGGATAAATAGTTTCCTAAATTTCAAAATATTTGATTGGAGAATAAAATCCGACATTGGACCTGATCGCAAATTTTTATTGACTAAACTACACCTGAAATCAGCTTACAACAACTATTGATTTAAGAGTAAAAACTGTTTGAGTTCTGATTGCTTTCCGTATTCACATGATATCACTGCAATTTTGTTTAACCATAAGCACTTATAAATAAGATCGGGCTTAACCAATGATTTAGCCTATTCAATGACGTTTTGTTTTAGAGGGATTAGTATTTAGAAAGATTCCTGTTAATAAATATTTCAGTTAATGTGGTCAGTGTCGCTTACCCAAACATGCTATGGATTGTTATATGACAGGATGTGTTGAATGGGACCATATTTAAAATGGAAGTAGGAAATCTTATTCACTAGAAAATTGGATACTGCATTCAAAATCTTATATCTGAGCACCTTATCATTCAAAAATTGACGAGAATGTTTTTTATTGCGTAAAATGTTGTAGTACTGTTTTTTTTGTGATAGTATACTTTCAAGTCAACTGCTGATTGATTGGAATCTAAATTATACATCTGCGTTATTGTTACACCATAGATCTGTGAAAAAACGGTAGATTTCCTATTTTTACCCATACTCGAAAAATAAGAACACATGAGAAGGGTGAGAAAGGGCTTATTCAGAAAACTAACAAGGGAAAATTTTTGATGATTTGTTAATTTGTGCAGAACTTTGATGGCGCAATAGATTTTTCAAATCAAACTTTAGTAATGGCCAACAGTAAAATAAAAGACGCTCATTTCTTCCTACTTAGGTTTCATTGGCTCATTGTACCCGCACTGATGTTGATATTTACTCTTGGACTCGGATAAAGTATCGCTCATTTCAAACGTCCAAGTTATCTACTAAGCAAGTGATCCTGCAAAGTTGCTGGGTCACACTCAGGAATCATGTATCAAAATAGACCTAATGATTGCAGTTCTTGATATTATAAACCTGAAGGTTATGTTCTTCACAAATAAATCAAAATATAATAGATTGTTTTGTGAACTACGAATTATTTTGTATGACTAGTGAGTAGGAAGTTTTTCAATTGGTGTAAAATGAAATGTTATGAATCAAAGGATGCATGCAGATGTTGTTCTGGAACACTCTGGTTAGGAAATACTTCAGAACTTGAATATATTCATTTTACAACTAAGAAATTCTGCCATAATAATACCTGAACAAAGCTGATAAAGGATGTTGAAATGTAGCCTAACTCGAGATAGCTCTTTGGTTAAATGTCGTCATTTGACGAAACAGCCATCCAATGTTTTCAGGTTTTCAATAGTTGTCTAATGTAAATGGCTACGTAATCATAATAAGTTAAGTTTTAAAAATTATTTTTTTGAGCGTTCTATTAACTTTTATAAGTGATTTAAGGAGTCAAGTAGAGTCCTAAAAATCATCTTGTCAAATTTCGTTTCAGTTGATGCTTTCTCAATCTCGACGAAAGTTGAATTAAAAGCTTCAAATATGTATAAAGTTGAACTCTTACGAATGTACAGACGAATGACTGAGAAACACTTTCAATTTAATAAAGCCGGGAGGAAAGTTGAAATGACTCTTGATCACTCTAGTTTTTTAATAACTCATTTAAAATATTCAATCTTCTGACAGTTCAAGATAACTGTGTTAACGTGTTTAAAGTTATATTTTAAGGATAAAATTATTGAGTATCAAAGATATCACTAAACAAGTTTAGTAAAATGTTAATCTTCTTAGAGTTGAGAAAAAGTTGAAAAATGAGATAAATCCATTGTCCTAAAAAAGTGTTGGGCTGTTTCAAAATGAAAATCAAACTGATTGACAAGATTCTGAAATGATAAGGCTCATCGTAAAGGCACCAAGAAGTTACCATAAGAGTACGACAGACCAGTCACAATGATGGTCGCTTCTTGTACAAATTTACTAATGAACTGGTTTAGACTGATTTCAAGTCATTAAAAAATCTTTTTCTTCCTAAAAAATTATAAGTTTTATTACTACTTAAAAACTAACATTAAGTTAGTATTCAGCTTCTTAGTATCTAAAAATACGTGTATATTATTTCAGTATAAAACTCACCATAACTCCAAACATCTGTTTTGTGAGAATAAATTCCATATTGAAGTGTTTCTATGGCTAACCAACGTATTGGCACACGACCAGCTTTTACTATGACACTGTCTTCATCACGACGTTCTAACATTTTAGCTAAACCAAAATCAGTGATCTGTACATGTTCACGTGTCTGAACGAGAACGTTCCGAGCAGCTAAATCCCTGAAAATCAAAGAAATATACTGATAATGTTTCATGAAATAAATCAAATACTTCCAGAACCCTTGGTTACTTAAAATTTATTAGGCAAACGATTAGATCATATATAAACTTTACATTTATTAGGCATTTTGTAATTTAATACGACAGCTACATTTCATCGGATATTGGATCAGTCAATCATTTGCTGGTTGACTGATAGTGTTCACGTTAAAGTGTCAACTAAGTATTAGTTGCATTGAAGTCTTAAAGGTTTATTGTTACAAAGGATTAAATCTTCCGTCAACTGTTAACAATTTTTTTGTATTTAAAAAACAAACAAACAGAAAATGTAGCATAAAATGATTCGTTTTTATCTCCTTAATATGAAAAACGATCTACAAAACAAACATTTTTCAAAGTGATGCGATTCTTTTTGAGTAACATATTGGGAAGTGGTAAGTAATGAATTAGATAAAGTTACAGTTAAAGTCAAAAGAAATTTCATTGAGTATATCAACACTTGACCACGTTGGCTGATCAGATTGATAAAAATGTCGAATGGTTGAGGAAAGTTTGTAGCTCAGGTTGATGATTATGATGGAATCCCAAGCAGCGCGGTATATAGCGACTTGTCACGTAACGACAGCACAGATAAAATACCTATGGTAAATCAGATGCATGCATTCACATCCGTTGAAGAATTAAGTTATAGTTTCGATGGACAGCATAAAATAAGCACCAAAAAACATGCTGAACTGTTGATTATAATTTATTGAGTACTAGTCAGTTATATAGGACAGAGATTGTCTAAAAGTAATCTTCTTGGCTTCCTTTTCATTTCATGTTAGTTACAATGCCACAAGAGTTCGTATATATATATATATATATATATATATATATATATATATATATATATATTCGACGTTTAGCAGATGTTTGACATGAAATTAATTTCATAACTGCTCAGCTACTAAATGAAGGTTCTATTTTATGGTGAGAAAATGTGTGGTTTGAATATTAATCTGATGATGCTAAGTTTCAAGAATAATTAATTGGCTGTTGAATTAATTCTTCTGTTCGACTATTAAAATTTCATCTAATTGAAAATTGTATCAATATAGAGATACATAATAATAATAAATATCTAGAGATGACATCAGTTGAATTAATTACACGCTGATTTAAAAAAAAATCAAGTTTTGAATATCCAATAACTTTAGAAACGGACCTAATTAATTCTATCCTTCGTCGAAATATATTTGACTATATTAAACACAGGAGACTAAATTCTTAACTGTATTCATATTTTGTCTTAATGAGTGTTTTAGAAACTGCAGAACACAGAGAAAACAGTGATAGTATCTAAAAAGTTGTCCAGTTATGTATCGAAAATTCAAATTAAGTTATTCTCAGAGTAGGTTTAATGCACAAATCGTTATTATAGGAAATTGTGGATTTACGTAATGACGAAAACTCGAGTAAATTTATGAAATAATGAAGAAGAATGAGAACATAGTAAGCAGCTTAAGCGTAACTTCGAATAAAGTGTGTGCTGAAAAATGTACTTAATTTTATGCTTTCAAAATGTCAGCTTTCTTAGGCATTATATATTGGAGTGAGGAAAAAATACAAGGAGAGGTATTAAGAAAATGAAAATAACTATAACTTCTTGATAGTCAATATTTAATGCAGTGAAAAATGTGAAAGTACAGTTTAGTAAATGTAATCAGAAATAAATGCATGACCAACCGATGAATAATTCCACGCATTTCCAGGTAACTCATACCATCAGCAATCTGTTCAGCCCAAGATAAAAGTGTAAGACTATTCAATTCATCTGCATGTTGTTTCACATAACGGTCCAGTGCACCTAATTCCACGAATATTGAAACTAAGCAATGACGTTCACTAGATAAACATATTCCGATTAGTGGAAGACAGTGACGATGCATAACAGATGCCATAACCTGTAAAGTAGGAGAGTAAAATCAAAAGACAATGGGGGGAGATTATAAAAGAAATAAGGCGAAAATGATAATGAGAATAATTTCATTGATGAACGCAATAATCTACACGCAACAAGCGACTGAAGGAGACCTTGAAGTTTGTTACGGCGCACTGCTGATGAAGTTTGTGCATGTACTTCAAACGAAGACACACCATCACAATCAACGTGTTTAGGCCATTATCAAAAGTTTTAATCAAATAACTGTTAGAAACAACAACCAAGTAACCATCGAAAATCAACAAGCATTAAGGATCAGTTTCTCTTACACTCTCAGTCTTATTGAACAGAATAAATAAGTGTTTTATAAAATGTATTACCCCATAGGTTGCTCAAGAGACTATCAAACAGTCGCTATTGTTGATGCCTAGCGATTCCAAATAGACTAAAATGTATATTGTAGTCTGGAAAATCCTGATTTCTGACTAACATTTTAGACTACCCACTAGCCTAGGACTTTATTTTACGATCTTGCTGGTACATTTGAGTTCAATGAAGTTTCTCAAGTGTAATAAATATCGGTTCAAGAGTAATCGGGTTCAAAAAACAGTTTTTGTTTTCTTTTTAGATCTACGCTATTATTGATGTTCTCTGGACTAAATAATTGTGTTTAAACCTTAGATAACCAGTTTATATGGGATGGTTGAACTTTGGAAACTGAATATGAAGATGTACAGTGAAATTTCATTGATTTGAAAAAACGATGTAAATAGTTGAATATAAATAAATCAAGCATAAATAGGTTAGGTATACGAGGAGTAGGAAAAATCAAACTAGAATAATATTACAAAGGAAATGAATTTTAATTTCGGATGGGAAATATTCAGTGTCAGTGATTTTCTCGGAAATCATTATCCATTGGTTTAGAATGACAATTTTAATTTTACTAAATACTGCCAAGTGTTAGCATTGTGTCAACCTACATGTGCAGTTAAGTTGGAAATGCAATTATGTGGTGTTTATTTTTGTTACCGATGAATGGTTTGAAACAGTAAGTTTTAAAGCTAATTATCGCTTATAAATCAAAGGAACCAAGTAATTTAGGAACTATTTTCAGTTGGAGAGGAACTTCTTATCATATACTAAAGTGATCAGTAAGGATGTCTGAAGGATTACTCAACAATCTTGAAGTCTCTGTAATTTCACTTCATCGTGCAGAAACACAGTGATTGAGGGTTTTTTGAGTACATGATCGTCACGTATTATGACCGTTTACTTACCTCTTATATTTCAACATATTCTTCATCCTGTCAGCGTAAAATAACAGAATAATCACATTAATAAAGTAACGTTTATCTAAACCCCTATAATTTCACGTCCATAAAATAACAAAATACGGTAAAATGAACTATGCTTTTTCATACCTTAGCTTCTTGAAGAAGTTCCTCTATATTAGCACGAACAGATGCCCGCTTTGCTTCTTCTTCTTGTGAACACGATGAATTACCAGTTCCAAATGCAGACGATGGGTTTGCAGTCACGGAATATTCAGGTGACTCATTCAAGATAACTTTAATTGCAACATCGAGTTGAGCACCCCTGTGCCAATTATATCGAAGCAGAGCATGTTTAGGTACTTTCCATATACCTTTGTACACAGCTCCAAATGATCCTGTTCCTAGTGGTGCTGAGTTAAAATCACAGGACAAGTCATCTTGATTGATCATTTCCAGCCGTCCCATGTTCGGTTCACGGCTTACAGACTGTGTCTTAACACGGATATTCAGACAAAATTAAAATAGTGACAGGCTGAGTTAAATGAATGCCACAAATTAAATAAATCAAATATCAAACAGATATGAATTCATGTGTACCAATTAACACTCAGTTCTAATTTCGATTTGTAGGCAGGTATTTATGACTGAAATTAACGTTCCTTGAATATTTTACGCGAACAAATAGAAATAGATGGTATTTTACAGCGCTAAGGTGAAAAACTCCGCTTGTCTTGCCAAAGCTACATTGGAAGTGGCTATCACTACTTAAAAGTTGAGTTGCAAAAAGACTGTATTTGTCAGTAACAAAGATTGATTGATAGCTTCTTAAAAAGATAAACAGAAAATAGACTGACAAGTATTTTATCATACAGTACGGTCAAAACAATACCTCATCTGATACTCGAATGCCTGAGCACTGGATTATAAGCTGCGCGGTAGACAATAAATCACAACAATTCGGTAACTAAAATAAGTTAACCCTTTCACTTTGATTGTATTACACTGATCAGTTCAGTGATTCATTATCTTCATACTCAGTAAATGAAATGGTGAATTATTCTTTAATCACCTGATTATTGAGTAGTATATTATTGTTTCTGAAAATGACCGGTCCCTTACGTGTCAATAAGTACCTAATGGAAAACTTCCAGCAACATTTTTATAGCCGATGTTCAAATGAGTGATTGAAAAATCACGGAATAGTTTGTCTGAAGCCATCAATTTTAACGATACTATTCTAGAGACTTACTTTCATATCAGGTTCTAACAAGTTAGTATATGCTGAACGTAACTGTTCACGTATTTTTTCTGCTTCAGCTTTTCGTTTCAAACATACCACCAGAATAATTGTAACAAGTGCAATAATAACAAACACGGAAATAGAAACTCCAATAAGAATTCGATTACGCAATTCTCGAGCTGTTTGACCAGATATACGCGCTTTTTGTTCAGCTGTTAGACACATGCCGTGAAAAATATGATTGCGATCCTCTGGACAGGAAGAATTACAAACGAACTGAAGAAAAAATGAAAGGCAGTGTGCTACTAAATATGATTATTTTGACAAATAGCACTTAACTTATCTTAACCTAGTTACACCGTGATTCTTTGCTAATATTATAAAAATATATATCAAAACAATGTTAGATTAACGTGACTTTTCAGATCAATATTTTCCTCAAAGATAGTTATGATGAAAAAAATGAGTAACTTATGATAGAGATGTAAAGAGAGTTGAGTATAATCAACTTATTAAGAAGCATTAACTGAGAATAAAACGATTGTCACAGTTGAAGTAATACTTCAAACATGATAATAAATTTCAACGAAAGGTCAGCTTCAGCTTCATACATTTCATGAACAGAAATAGAAAAAGATTGGTACTACAACTATTACAGTGTATTGGGCTTATTGAAATGTCATACAAAAACTCTGTCGCCTTACTCATTGAGATATAAACGATCTACTGTTAAAGGGCTTTTGCCACTAATGACGTACACTGTTTATTCAGTCAGTTACCTGAACGTTATTCAGAAAGCTTTCCATACATTGAAGCAATACAAACGTCTAAAAATTGATGCATGCTAGGTCGTAACTCATGAATATTCGTTGCTCTAAAATGCTTTTCCATGAGTCTAGAAGCCTAACCAAATCTCAATATTAGAAGCTCAACAATTAAGAATATTTACAGGAGAAAACAATCATTTTTTTAGAGCTTAACATTAAAAGTATGGTGCATTGTTGTGACGCACTCGATTAAGCTTGAAATATGTTTGCAGTTGTGCTTGTTCTTTAAAAAGTTTTACTATAGTGGTAAAGTATTGGTCTAAATAGATTTTTAAATCAAATTATTCAATAGAACTACATGACTAGTGTTAACTTACTTTATTTGTTTCTTCATCCAAGATGATTTGATAATTTCTACATTTAACACAATCTTCTGGACCAGGTCCAGAACAACCTTGAATACATTGTTCATGACAGAGCAAACAACGACGCTGAGAGCGTTTTAATTTAACTAAAAATACTGGAGCTGCTAATGAGGAGGTTTTATATTCTTGTTGATTGTCAATAATGCTAGCATTTGTACTTGTAGAAGTATTCGACAGAAATGTGAATTCTTTTAATTGATTTGATGACAGTTGAGTATTGTTACTAAGAGTAATTAAATCGTTTTCAAAAATTTCTTCATTGTTCAACTCTTTATCAGATGCCGGCAGTGAATACGTCTCCGCTATAATAATGGTATTAATGCGAAATTCATAATAATTAGAAATTCACTTGAAGTCGAACTCCTTGGTAAAAGCAATAATACATCAAATACAATGATAAGTTAATTTGATCCCTATAAAACAAAATTAACTAACTGTACATAATTACAAACTGAGGTCCAAGTTCAATATAACCATGAATGTGTACTAGTGGATAGTAATTGTCAAGCAATGCGAACCAGAGTCACACAAAGTTACCGTTAAAGAAGTCCCATATGACATACTCGGCTAGCTACTGAAAGTCAACAGGAGTGTAATGTCTCCGCTAACTGATCATTAGTTAATCACTCAAATAACACGAAACCGATGTTGATGACTTCATCTTTCTAACATAAAAATACAGCGGATCACAGTGTAGAGTTACCCACTTTAAATGATATCAAGTGGTCATGTGGTAAGATGATGCTTTAATTGAGGCTCTATTCAAATATACAACTATAATGATTTGATTTGTTTTGCTATCATTTAAGCTCATGAACACATTAGGAGTTCTCAGAGAATTAGAGTATAAATCCTTTGTTTAGGAAAGCGACTAGATATTTCAGAACATTCTTTTTTAAATCACTTATTTAGTGTAGTGGAAAGATTCCTATATTTATAGTTGGAAGAAAAGTGGAAAATTTTGACAAGCACATCGTTCAGACATCACCTTAATGTAATAAACGAAATGACTTTCTCTCTGAGTTACTCTGATTATGCAGTTGTTTCAATTAAAAACCAATATGCTGTGGGTTCATATACCTCTGTAAATTGTAATGCTAATTAGATATTTGAACAACTATTCGTGAACATATATGGTTCTATTTTATGATGACAGTTGCCACGACCAGTTCGTGACGGGATTTATTATTCGCTCTAGCATCTTGAGAAATCGTAAACACGTTGGTTGACTTTATGATAATAAATTACCTAAAATGACTAGATTATTTTCCTACTTATTTGAAATGAAAACGGTTGTTAGACGTTCACCTAATCTCTAAGTACATATTATATTGTCTCCTCTTAGTCATTCTTGATAAAGTAAGAACTCGTTATACTTTGATACCACTGTCTTCTTATTTGCAATTGAACAATCCAATAGCTTACCACATTTAAACCGCTCTATTTAGTTGTGTGATCAGAATATTCTCATTGTACCCTAGACGAAGCAGTTGTATGTGTTACTGAGCACCAGTAACAGTGACACTCCTTAGTCTCAGTATTTTCATTCAGCTACGCAAGTTAATAAGAATACTTAATGTAAAGTGAGGCCGATTGATGTAGAACAAGAGTGATAAATGATATTTGTTTGGTATTGTCAAAAAAACAATGACGTATTCAAATGTTTTTAATTTGTGATTTAATTCTAATAAATAAAGTAGACAATAAATCATTTTATTATTGTCCTTATAATAATTGTTATTATTCTTCTATTCTTTTTTTTATTGTTATTATTATTATTATTATTACCATTAAAACTACTCCAACCTAAGGTAGTTGGTAGCATTTTGAAGACGACATTATGACACAATTCACTGATATCAATAACAAAGTTAATTTATGTTTTGAGACGTTGTTATTCTTATGAATACCAACATTATCATTGTCTTATATTAACCTCATATTTGTTTCTTATTTCGTGAATGACAATTTTATTTAACAGAAAACAAAGAATATATTTGTTAGAAACAAATTAACAGTTTCTAGACTAAGAGTATGGAGTAGTAACAGTTTAGGCAACATAGAAATTTTATTTAAGTATTCGGTTGTTACACAGAATATCACTTACGTCGAACCTAAATAAGGAACTACTTAGTCGATGAATATTGTAATAATCAGTTGATAACCTCTGGTCCACATTAATAATCTAGGTGGGAAAAATCCAAGTGAGGATGAGTAGTAAGGTGAAGTTAAGGTCATTTCATCAGTCAGATTTCTCATATCAGTAACTAAAGGACAAAGCAGTGATCCGATGAAGATTAGGGTTTGGTTAAATACCATGAACTTAAGAATCACTCGGTCATACCATTACTAGATTATATGATTAGTTTTCCGGATCACAATTACTACTGAATACACACCATGTTGAAAGGTGAAGTTGCGTTCAATATTATTATGGCACACTTTACTAGGTAGAAATAGATTCTTCTGTTCAAACCATACGAAATAAAAAAACTTATTTTTTGTTTCTAAGGATAGGCTTGGGCTATATGTAAACTATGATAATTCCATAATATCATTTTTCAACATGATGAATAAAAAAGACTGGTCATAGGTAAGTCAGTCAGTCGAAAACCAGCAACCTACAAATATCTTCTACTCTCACTGGCCATGTTTCACAGCCATAAAGTAGGACAGAGCGAACTGCTGTGCAGTACACAAGCCATTTGTTTAGTAAACGGATACCTCGCTAACGCCAAGCCAATCGAGCATTTCGTATGCATGCTGAGATTTCGTCACAGACCAGGCCATCAGCACTGATAAGACTCCCGAAATAAGTGAAGCGGTCAACACGTTCAACTACTTCACTTCCTATCACTAGTTCAGGTCCCGATGCAACCCAATTCTGAAGCGAAATTTTGCATTTCGACGTGGAGAATCGCATCTCGAATATGTTTGCATTGTTGATTATGGTAGTCAGAAGACACTGTATTTTATCAGCACCTTCACCAAATGGTTTATTGGAGATCATGGGCAACCAAAATGTGGCTGTAAGCAAGTTGAACTGATTCCTAAAGTGCTTTGCACATTGACCCAATCTCCTAGATCGAGAATGAATAATGGCCCCAGCCTTTTTCAAGATAGTTTAGCTAACAGATGGATTTCTGATACCGGTTTCCTTGATCAGGCGGAATTACTGTCTGCTACTGCCTATCGCCGCTGCCTTTTCCATCGCTCTTGGTTCCACTCCCCACCACTGTTCGCGATCATTGCCCATACCTCTTATCAATCTATGCTTATGCTGACATCGCTGTTCGGCATGTTCAGAGCTAGGCGGGATGAGCTTTCGAGCATCTGTCAGTTTGAAAAATGCAACAGAGTTTGACGGCTTCTCTTTAACCTTATGGCTTACCTTACTAGCAGGTATCACCGCTGTTTCCACATTGTTTTGGATGTCATTCCAAGCGGACTAGGTGGGAATCACTTACGTGTCCGCTTAACTGTTTTTCTAGTTGATTCCAAAATATATTCTTAGCTTTATCATTATTAAGTAGGACCATAACAAGTTTCGTTGCAGTGTATTTCCTAGGTCAGGTAAGTCGTAAACTAATACGCGCTTGCACTAGAGCACGATCTGAGCCTAAACATATGCTCCAGAACGAGCGACAGTCTCCTATCGAACCCCTCCGTCGGTGGCTGATAGCAATGTGATTTAGTTGGGTCCATCGTTGGGAAGGCTTTGGGGGTCGCCATGTCGAGAGATGTTTTTCCTTGTTCCTAAAGTTATTATTTGCTAGGAATAGGCGGTTACCTGAATATCGATGAAGCAAACGGTCACTATTATCTGTCTTACGAGCCACAACGCGGTGACTTTCCCTATCTTTCTGAATGCTTACTGTCCCGTTTATTCGGACAGAGCACATGTGACTGTCAACTGGGATCCAGTCTAGGAGAGCTAGTTCTGCCCAAGGATTCAATGCTATACCTAAACCAGCTCGGTTATATGAAGCAGCAGGGCTTCCAGGTATACGGAGCCACGCAAACATCGATGGCGCAAGATTCTGACGTCCCGTCAAAGGAAGCTTGTTGCTCTGACACACATTTCGAAAATTTTAATCCCCAACATGTAGTTTAGAGCTGGGTTTCAGGAGACGAGGAAGAACGTTTCGTGAACTCGAATTGTTTGCATTAGCGGTTTGGGGTGATAAAGGAACATAAGAAGAGTTGGTCGTTGATATAAGAGAGTTATTAAGAAGCGAAGAAAGGTTTTGATTGTGAACAATTGGTTTCGCGTGTATTTACGGGTATGAGGGTGGATTTCATTTCTTGGCTGCCCACACAGTTGAAAGGTACTTCCTGAGGAACCTGAAAAGGAAACCGGATTAGTATTGGTATGAGCGACCTTGTGGCGAGAGCAAAGAGCTAAAGGACAACTGCTTCAGACCAGACACGCACGGCCTTTTTATTAGTGGTTTTTGGCGCGTTAACTTCGCACTTCAAAAGGTTTTACCTCCAGAGACGGAGATCTGTGGCGTAAGGTGAAGTATGACCTTTGGTGGGAAGGCTTTAAATTACCTCAAACAATTTAATCTGACATATCTGTTCACTACATGTAAAATTCCTATCTATTTCAAGCTGTCTGTGCCTGCAAAATGGCATGAATTTTGTATTTATAATTTTGAGAATATATTATTAATATTAAGATTTGTCAAACAAATAACCTACCGGGTGGACAAACCTCGACACACTCTGATTTAAACCACCAATGAATACAACTGTGACATATAGATGCGTGTGTTCCGTTTGCTGTACATAAATCACAAAATGGATGACATGGTTTGCACACACGAATCATACCACCAGGTTCACTTTTTTTAACTTGATTATGAGAGGACATAATGATCTTTTCTTTGTTGATAAAATCTTGAGTTTGGTAAGATTCTGTGTAGTGTTTAGGAGGACAATCATCGGATAGGCATTGGTATTTGTTTGTTGTTTTATCTGGTAACAAATAAAATCAAGAAAATTTTCCATGAAAGTGACTGATAAAGTTTTTAGTTATTACAATTAAAAATGTAGTTGTATATGTTATTTTAATAATATTGGTTGTTTTATTGAAACGGTATCATGCCACTGAATTTAGGACCACGCACAGTAAAACAAAGCAAAGCAGAACTGAAATGGATATGAACAATACCAACAAGTATAAGACATTGCATGTGTCTGATATTGCGTAAGCGTGAAATGAGGGAAATTTATGTAGTATGAATAAAGTAGTTCAAGTTACGTAACACAGGCATACTTCAATTAGACAACCATTGAAAATTAACAGGTGTCAGACAGCTTTTTCGTCCTGAAATGAGACTTTTAAGAATTGCGAATCCTCTACGCACTGAGGGATTGAACACAGGCATCAGGGTTAATTTTCAGATGATTGAGTTGCTACCTAGTTGTTTGTAATCATAATCTTGCGTTACTTAACAGAGACACAAGTTTAACTAACTATTAGAAATGAATATCCAGAAGACTTTAGTGTGGTGTAACATCAGAATCTCCTCAGCGGTTCCGAAAATTCGGTCTTCACCAAAAAATGTGATGAGTAACGTTGGTGTGTGGAGTTTTTCAGTGTAGTAGGTTTCCGGCAACATTTACGTATAATGAGAATAAGAAATGGTTCTCAGAAACTGAATCTAAATTCATACGTTAGGTTAGAATAAATGATTCTTTTTTTGGCATGATAATGTCTGAAAACCAGGGAAAACAAGAGTCAATCATTGTACGATGTCTCATGAGAAAGCAAATATAACAACTCAACTGCCATCGTCATTCATGATCAAAAATTAAGTCACAAAACAAAAGTAACCATATTTATTGATATTGGAATACTAGTTATTCATTGTTTACTTCGTTGCCAAGCTCGCGTGAACAGCTACCTGAATAAGAGTATTGAAGTTAACTAACAAAAGCCTCCTATTCGTTAAAAGAATTAGAAATCATCCTCAATAGAACACAAAAAATCTCATTTGAATAGTAAATAATCTTATTGTGTCATACGTTGTAATACATATTAGTTATGTACTTGTGCTAACTAAATCAAAACAGTTAAAAATGAGGGAGTATTTCATGAACATATTACAGAATACTCAATTTATCAGACAAATGATTAAATTAATCCACTTGGACACGCTTGAGATTAATTCAGTGATCGCTGTGTTTTTAAATCAATTATCAACCCAAGAGTTGAAATAAAATTTATTTCTGGTAACTAACCTTGTATAACTGTCCAACATGTTTCACAGCCACCTAAACCAAGGAAATCTCCTGGTCCACTACATAACTGATTCTGTCCAACTGCCAATACGTGACTGCATGACCCATTACAAGGTAAACAATAGTGGGTTTGTGGATCTATATATGTGTTTCGTGGACATTCAGGTACGCAGGTATCACCGTGCTAAAAAAATATTAAATAAAATCCATTGCTTTATTAAACAAACCACTGGATAGTTACGAAACACTAACAGTTTTAAAAAATTAACAAATCACGAATATCCTTTCTGGTTAAAATTAAGTTTCATATGAGACAGTACCATATGGGACGTGCAAATTTGTGAAAATCCCAACTTAAATTAAATGGAAGTTGGGATAAAGTTGATGATGATATCTTGAACAATTTTAGATGAAGTATATTTTGCCCATAGTTAAGCTCTTCTTCGAAGTTTAGGTTTACAGAATACATATTTTCTGATCACTTTATTGACCTATTTTAATAAATATTTCTATATTGTCAAATGAATGCTAGTAATAAAACATTCAGAAATTTATCTGGTAAACGGTGTGAAACAAAACGATCAGTCAGGATACATTAAGCAACTTAATATTTACCTTTCAAGGCATTTTTTTTCCAAGGATCATCTAAGACAGAACTGTTTCAGCAATTTTTCTTCTAGTTTTCAGCTTGATTTATGTCGAACGTTTTAGTGCTTTAGTTATTTTTTTCAATAGATTATCTTTGTTTATTATGGAGTGAAATACCGCTCGAGTTTATCTCATATTTCCAGTAAACGATTCAAACTCACGTTTTGACTTGTCTTCAGAGAAATACACATTAACTTATCAAGAAATCGAGGTCGTTTGTCTATACTTGCTTAAACAAGTTTACTTCGATTAAATTGTTTGATTTGTTTGCTCAATTTTATTATTTTGGTAATTGATTTACTTTTTCAAAACTAACCTGGTAGTGTTTACATTCGCCTACACATTGATTTGCATGAGGACCATAACATGTCTGAGCACATTCTGGATGACAGATGGCGCATGTTTTTGAAGGGACTACAGATGCAATGATTGCTTGTTCATCCATTTCTGCTATTTGACTTTTAGTTAACGGTAAAGTTCGACAAACAGGATCATTATTAGTAGTTTTTCCTAGAATTGTATGGTTGAAAGGTGTTGGAAGTTCATAAAAGCCAGGATGATCCGTGCATCGAGACACGCAATAATCACCAGCCTTTAAACCACAACAATGAGCACACATGTTAGCTTCAGCACCCCAACATCCAAGTTCCGGTAGACATTCACTGTGGCAGACATGACCACGTTTAACTATAAGAACATGAATAAAATGTGTATGTGAATAAAAAGCAGATGCTTAATTACACATAAATTTTTCATTTCCCTTTCTTTATCCCCTTTAGGTCGAATACTTGTATTATCATTCGAATTGTAACAATCGGTTCTATTGAGTCGTTTAGATGTTGGGCGTGATATGAGGTCTGACTGGCAGGACGAGGAGACTCAACTGAAAACTTCGAACCCTTGTTTAAAGATTCTAGAGTTGAAGTGGACTAGTTTTCTGGAACTCCGTCTGAAGTCCTCCTAGGGTTACTACCGGTCCCAAGCCAGAATAAATGAGAATAGTTGAGCATGATGTTAGCAAACACATATCGTGTAAAACCGATTCAATAAAAAGCACTAGCCAGAATAAATAATTCGAACCACTTAAACTCTGTCCTGGGAGTTAGATGGTCTTCATTTAGAATAGTTACGAGACCTCATGTTGAAAGCCGAGTTTCTTCGGAAGTGAAAAGGCTAATGCCCCTTTTGACAACTAAAACAACAATTAATATAGGTACATAGAATATTCGCATATTGTGGGAGATCGGTGTAACCATTCAAGTTGCTATGAGAATGAAAGGAAACAAATTGGTGAAGCTTGGAATAAGTGAAACACACTGCATGAAGTTTGAATGAAAAAGACTAGCTTCAAGGGACATGCTGCTATACTTTGGCCATGAATAAGAAAGTGCCTCACACACACACACACACACACGGAGTTACACTGATGCTATCCAAAGAAGCACAAAAAGCATTTATAAGATGGAAATACCATGGACTCAGGTTCATCAAAGCAAAGAAAGAGGGGATTACAATGAGTGTGATTACAATGAACATGATAAAGAACATTTCCGAAGATCATTCCCGATAAAGCACATCATGCACCAACCAAATCACACTTGACTGAGAAGCTCAGGAAGATGTGGAAACCTTTATATACAGGGGCAATAATAAACAAGGTGAATCTGATGTAGATGTAAAGACACGGATTAGCACAACAAAGGCAACATTTCTACAATTGAAGAACATCTGGAAATCAAAATAACTGTCAACCAACACCAAAGTCAGAAGTTTAACTACAAATATCTAGACAGCTCTACTGTATGGAGCTGAAACTCGGAGAACCACAAAAGCCATCATTCTGAAGATGCAGGTGTTTACTAACAGTTGTCTACACAAGATAATTCAGATACCTTGGTCAGAACGATCAACAACAACCTACTATGAGAGAAAACGAACCAGGTTTCGGCTGATAAAAAAAACTAGGAAAAAGCGCTGGATGGGCACAGGACTCATTTCGGAAATCATCCAAATTGGCCGCAAGGCAAACTGTAACATGAAATCCGCATAGCCAAAGGAAAGGAGAGAGACAAAACAACACATGGAACTGAAATTTGGGGATAGACATGAATATAATCAATAGCAATTGCATAAAACTGGAAAGGAACGTCTAGGACAAAGTTGGTTGGGAAATACTGGTCAGCGGCCTATGTAACACGAGCGGTAACAGGAGTGAGTAGGTAAATAAGTAAGTAGTGTTCTCGAACTTTAGACCCCTGCTCGCAGAATGGATCTTAATAAGCCACCAATACCTTCTGGCATCGTTGCTTGGAACGATTGAACTGTTGTATGAACTGGAACTTTTTTACATAATATATTCTTTTGCACTGATCAAATTGAACTTAATCAATTTTGAACTTCGCTCAAGTTTTTGCTCATTGGTAAGTAAATTAATAATGTCTAAGTTTGTTTGTATCAAGTGAAAGAAAATAAGCACTTAACCGAGTATAATTCAACTTTTAACAATCTAGTTTTTCCCTGTCTCTACAATTATGAATTAGGATTTATAAAGCGAACGTGTTGTTAAAAGAAACGAATTAAGTATCGATTAACGAACGAACTTCACTGATTCAAAGTGGCCAAGATATGATTTAAATTTTTGATACTGAAATGTTTGCATAATAGAAACGGTTTCTCACAACATGTTTATGTAGAAAATATATACACGGAGAAATTATCAAGATTAAATTTCGGTGGTGATTGGAAAAAATTATTTTTGGAGCTGGTTCGCATTTCCAATAGTTAAGACCTTGCCATCATGTTATTACTGATTATAGAAAACCGCATAACAGAAAAAAAAATGACACATATTTCTCATACGGTCATAATCGATAAGCTTATTTTCAGTTTCGACTATTATAGGTAGGTTCTTAATTCATTAAAAGAAATATATTATTGCAGCGTTTGGTTTTCAATTTACATGATTTGTTGTATTGATGCATATTTTTTCCAATCGCAAGTTAATGGTACGGAGAACAGTTAATCTTATGTAGTTGACATTCGTTCAATTCGGGAGTTTTATAATTTTCCAAATGATTGATCACATATCAACACTGCTATTTAAGCAATTTTTTATGAAGCTGTTATTATAAATTCCTTTGATTTGTTTTTCATTTATTGGTTAAAATACACAAGTAATTATTGTGGAATGTGTTAAACTTTCAACTACTGAATCAAATTAACGATTAAATGGAGTATTTTATTGACGAATACTTCAAAACATCTGATCAGTCTAGAACAAAACATGATTCACAGGCGAACATGATCGACAGAACGCACTAAAATAAATTTTCATAAGTATAATAAATCTCTTAGGTACAAAAAAAAACTGAAGTTTTGTTTTGTTAGTAAACAAGTACTAAAATTGTGCCAGTTTATGAGAAATATCAGAAGCAATGGATCTATAATACGCAACTGCTAATACGACTTCCATAGGACCGTAATCACCGAGACCTGGACGTAACTACCACTAAACTAAAAAAAAAATTGAATGACTAGTTTATAGGTTAAATATCGATTTTTTTCCCAACATACACCACTTTAAGAGAGGTAGTATTGAATATCATTGGTCACCGTCATACATATACATAATTTAAAGTAAATTAACATGTTCTGTCGTGAACATTTATTTTTGACAAATGTTACAGTATGGTTTTTTAAAGATCCTTTGTTCGTAAAGACAAATATCAGGATGTTTTTCATTTGCGATCAAGTGTGAATTGATTGATATTTTTGGAATTAAATGTCATATTAGTTTTGTTTTAACAAAGGTATATTTATCCTCAAGACATATATCAAGAAATGAGTCCAATATAATCTGACAAAATCTCATAAAAAGAAGTAAGGTACATATTGTTGTTATAAATCTGAATGCTAAGTGAATTCTCAAACAAAAACGACCATTGATCACTTTCATGATGAAATCTTTTAAAAGTTATTTTTATCGATCAAAGCCTCACTAGCATTCATAATTGGTGGCTGGCTGTACTTGTTGTAAATAATAGGTTGCGAATGAAACAATAACTACTCATCTTTTTTTTAATTAACAGGGATCGTTATCGCTTTAATTTGTGATAGATATATGTGATTAAAAATTTACATCATCCTGGTAGCTCATTTATGAGAAATTGTTTAAGATTATCCTTACTGTTCTCTGCATATATTACTGACACAAACATATACATGAAATTCTAAATTGATAGAACATTATTTTTAAAGGAAGTGGTTGATTTTCTGCTTTACATTTTTGTAATCACAGTACATTTTTCAATGGCATGAATTATTAATAACGAAGATGAATGTTGGGCAACATACAGAATATTCATGATGTAGATGGCCATGGTTTCTAGATGTGGTTATATCACATATCCCTGTTGATAAGTTACTATAGCAAATCACATGACGTAAACAGGAACTGTTTCTAAACCATACATTATTACAAAGAAATATATACATATTTAAAAAAATTAATTAGTCCTAGGAAAGAGCACAGAATTCTTTGAAAAATTGTAAGTTAATTTTTGACGGCAGAAATGCGATTTCACAATCAACTCGTTATAAATATAGAATGATTTATTTTTTGATGAATTATGTCGTAACAGTTAACAACTATTTTTTTTTTTTGAAACCATGAATCGATCAATGTTAGACCACCGTTAGAAACCTGGAAGCACTGGACGGCCGTTTCGTCCTGGTATGGGACTCCTCAGCAGTGCGCATCCACGACTCCTGCACCCCGCAGGATTCGAACCCAGGACCTTCGGTATTGTGCGCGAACGCCCTAACCGATAGACCACTGAGCCGGTATCTAACGGTGTTAATGTCTAACTTGATCATATTCACGGAGTTGCGCAACCTCATACACAGTCTTCGGTAGTTACTGTCTACACCCGAACAGGTTGAACTTCACTGGTCACGTCTTCCCACTAGAACTCGGAGAAGATTCCTCACGAAGCTAGTCACTAGTGAGCACAGGTAATTTGCATTACGGGGTTGTGAAGATTGTTAAGTTACACATTTTTGATACCGGCTCATAATCTATCGGTTAGGGCGTTCGCGCACAATACCGAAGGTCCTGGGTTCGAATCCTGCGGGGTGCAGGAGTCGTGGATGCGCACTGCTGAGGAGTCCCATACCAGGACGAAACGGCCGTCCAGTGCTTCCAGGTTTCTAACGGTGGTCTAACATTGATCGATTCATGGTTTCAAAATTGTGTAACTTAACAATCTTCACAACCCCGTAATGCAAACTATTTTTTTTCCAGAAACTTAAACATCCTTCCTGTAGCCAGCGAATAAGTAATGTTTTACAAGGCACTCAAATGATGTTTGGTGGGATATTGTTAATAAAGATGAATGAGATTTGTGAAACAATACTTTGAGATATGAATTAAAGTTGCATAAAGGTCTGCAACATTAGGCTGGAACAAAACCAGCAAATATTATGAGTATTTGTAATGTAAGTCAACCATAATACAAATGTTTCTTAAATTTCTTTTATCTTAGCAAATACTTTATTGTTGCATACTTAAAACGAGTCTATCCATTAATTAGATTACTAGATGAAGAATCAGAAAATCAATAAACAATAGTTCAACTAATCGAAAGAAAATCCAAATGTTTCTACAAATAATATAAGACATACCGCATTGTTCTTCATCTTGAACTTCGACCATACGCACTGGTAACATTTTTGTCAATGCACTGATATAACATAATTTCGGCATATTTTTTAAGTACACATAACCTCCAATGTTAGTGAGTGATTTGAAACCAAACGATTCGATATTTTCACCATTCATAATAGTAATCACTGCTCCTGGAGATTGACTTTTAACTGAAAAGAATGCAAATTTACATTATAGTATTAATCTGAGAAAATAATGATTATTTTAATTGCCTAAATGTTGTTTTATGTAAATATGTAAGTGAACTTTTCTGTAATAATTATTATTTACAATAATGTCACTATCAAAGTTACTTTTTCTTTTAGCCTAGTTTCTATTTATCAAAAATCTCTTGTATATAAATAACATAAATATTGCTGGTATTCAGTAATTACAATTGATCGCAATGGTTAGTGTGATACACATCTACAATACTGAATATCACATTACACGCTCTAAATAATTATTTATTGTAAAAATTCATTTCAAGTATTCAGCCAATGTAAAGAAATTCCTAATAGCTAATAGTATTCAGTAAATTTATCATAAACCTGTAAGCAGTTGTTTGAAATTTCACTTCAACATACCTTCTAAAACAACGGATTCTAGATTTTCCAGAAATGTCAAATTTTTTAATTCTTCTGGGGCCCCACGTAAATCAAAGTAAATATACCCAACAATTGATTTCAGTTGCAACAAATTGTAGAGTTCATTGATGTTTACTATTGGATCTGGAAACCGTGAACTTTGGAGAGAAAAAAACAGACAAAAATTATGAAAATTTGACAAGAAACTTTTCATATAATCAATACCAAGTAATAAATAAATCATTATTATCATGATGATGAAGCAGATGAAAACGAATCCTAAATCTATTATTGATTTCACTTTCTCATTACTTACACCGTATACCGTCAGCCTATGTTAAATGTTTCGTTAACTTAATGCAAAAGTAGCCTTATAAGTGGAAGGCATATTGTAGTAACCAGAAAAATCATTATCATCTGATATTCAGAAAATTACCGATCTCAAACTCATATTTCCAATAGATCTATGCATTCAAAACTGAAGTGAATATGCCAACATATTACCGTTTAGAAAATATACTACTGTGTATTACAGTTTGGTTATATGAAATTGCGATCACTGACTGTTTTCAAACCAATAAAATTATTGGAGGAAAAAAAGCAGCTATACCATTATCACATCCTATAATGTCTAATGGAAACAAAAGTAAATTACGTCAAACGATGCCATTTACATAAAATTAAATCATCTTCAACTATACCAATGCCATGAATTATTAAGGGGAGCTGTTTCGCATGAGGTGTAAAAGTTGTAAAGACACAAAACATCATTTTTCCGTGCTGTAATCAGGATATATTTATATGAATACTATGGAAAATTTGATTTCAGTTACTTGTGGTACATAATTAAATCACATCACTTATTACAATAAACAAATAAGCTGTTCAAATCAAAGCTTTTCAATTGGGTATAAACTCAGATAAATGTTTTTTTTACAGTGTTAAGGTCTAGTTTACATTTTTATTTGTCATGTTGACAATTTAAATAAAGCATTGTTCAGGTCACAATTGCTTCAAACAGTTGAATGAGATAAAACTATTTGTTTGAGAATTTGGTTTACGACTGATATCTCATTAGTGATTTAAAACAATACACAAATGTAAGTCAAAACAGAAACATACAATCATTAGTGTTAACTTTGAAAAACTAAAGTAGTATTTAAGAACCAATCTTAAGAATTCGATTAAACTTATTCAATAATGTGAAGGAAATCAGCCGAACATTAACTTACCTTTTTTGGAAAGACTCCTTACTTATATACAAACCACCAGTATAATAGACACATGATTTAAATTTCTGTAATGAACTTGATTGTAGGATATTCAAACTTCCATTCTGAAATATTGTTTCTTCTTTACAATCTGTGATGAAAATTAGGAAACAATGATAAAAAATAACTGTCATCCTTTCAATAAAGAAACCGCCCAAAACGATTGTGAAATATATATTTCTGAAAAATTATTCATGGCTTCAATTGGACAGTGAATTCATGTTGACTGATTAAAGAGTTATGGCAAATTTGAAGAGTTTTTTGATATCTGTTTAATTTCCTGTGAACACACATTGAGAATTAAAGATTAATGGAAGCGGATGAGTCAAGAAAATTAATCTCTGTTTGACATCGCTTAAAATCGTTACAGCAGCTTACCAATTTAAAGAGTTAACATTTTGTTGGACACTCAACGTATACTTAATGCTACAGAGAAGTTTGATCAAGTTAACAGGCAATCTGAAATACTGTGGTAGTTCATAGTATAGCTTAATAAATTACATAGAGGAGAGATGTAGGACATTTGTGTACGCTAAGATTGGATGCAGAGATGTTGGATTTCATTTATTGCAAGAGAAAGAATTAAATGATTTTTTAAGCGTACTATTAATTCCTAAATGTGGAATGCCAGTGCAAGGATAATTGATTTACTTTGTATTAAATCTCCAGCTAAAATTTCCAGCAGTCAACGTCGGTTTCAATTCTTAACAGAATTGACAGATTGAAAACGAAATATTAGGTATTGTTCAGCTGTCGTACTGATGATCCGTTTACACAGAGAACATAGAGACAGACCATTTCAACTTTTTCCACAATTAGAGAGAAAAATTCGAAACTTACAAATCTGTTGAATGAATGTTTGATATTTCTGATTTAATCAAAAATCTTCTAATAGAGTAATTCAATTATTCATGTGGATATTGAATTCAACAAATTTATTTTTAATGGAAACATTTTTTACAATGTGAATATGAACATATGGTCCGATAAAATGCCATCAGAATTCTAGGAACAAGTGTTAGTTGAATTTATCAAGATGAATTGATTCGAAGAAAAACTAATTGCGGATAAGTAAAATTTGATAGTCACTCTGTGAGTGTTGTGAACACTAGTCCATATTAATGAACATCAATATTTGTTTGTTTGCTATGAATTACAGAATCGATGTTAGTTAGTAGAACATCAAACATATACTGTGTTTTGTAAGACGGACAAATACAACTAGTAAGGTACGAGTCTAAGAAAGATTTAATCTGGAATGTTATTTGAACAAATTTCATACTGAACAGCAATTCAAACTTGATTCTAGAGTCTTCGTGATACCACTCTATCCCTTCATGTCATCTCCGTGGTAAGAGGATTTAAATTCAATAATTAACCAAAATTTGTTAGGCACCTAATTTCCGTATGAAATATCTTTACCACATTTTAGTATTTCCATTATGACTAAGTTTCCTAACTAAAGGCTATAAACAAACCTTGAAGACCCCTTTGGACAGTACGTTTCAAATCGGTTTAAAAAATCTCAGCGTTTCAGCAAGATATTTGACGCTTATATTGCAATCAACATCTTTCAAATTACATTATCTATCCGATATGTGGACATATTTCCTGAGAACAGGAAAGAAAATATAACGATTGTCTCCTTAAGAAATACAACTGACTGTTGATTATAAGCAGTGTAGAAAGTGTTTCAATCTTAGTCATAAGCTAAAGGTTGTAGAAAGAAGTTGTTTAATATATACACATTGAACAGACTTGCAGAAAGGTGGTAGCTTTATAAATTTGAAAGGTTTTAAATAATTAAATATGACACTTCAAAGGTAAAACAGTTATTTCAGCCTTCCAAAACAGACTGTTGGAGGAATCTAACTGCTTTGTATACTTCAAAGTAATCAAAATTATTAAAACGATTCTATTAAAATGTTTATTTTCCTATGTCTAATAAAACTCTCTTTATTAAAACGTAAGCTAAGTTGTGAATACATTAGTTTTGCGTCATATTTGAACAGTGTACACCTTGAAAATGGTTGAAGAGGAAAAAAATATATGTCTCATCCCATCTTAGTTCAAAGTCATTGTGTTTGGTTGTTGTTGCTTAGTGCGGAGCTAATACACTATGCAAGAGTTGATACTGGTAACAAATAAATATTATGTAAAAAAATTGACTTTCAAATTCAATGAGCCTATTATAGATGACTGAAACTTTTCCTACTTTGAATTTATTCCACTGTAATGTCTGTTAATTCCAATTATAGTAAACATAAAATTACTTTTAATCAGCTTGTCCTAATTTACATCATTTATTATATATTTTATCTGTTCATGAAAATTGGACCAAAAAGCATAATTTTCTCATAAGATATAATTTTATATTTCAGAGTAGTTTAAAAGCTGAACTTCTGGACTGGTTTCTAGAGGACAGAATTCAAACTCAACCGGAAGTGAGGCTAGGACAACATCACTCAACTATTTAGCGGGCTTATAAATTATTGATATTGATAACATAGGTAAATGTTATAAAATTATATGTAAACCATACTGCATAAAACTTACGCTCTGGGCATCCAGATTTCGGACAGTCCTTGCATGTACCATTGACAGGAACTTGTGTATTCAAGTCACATTCAATGACACAATAACTGTCTGATTTGAGAAATGGTGCTATATAAAATCAAAAGAATCGGCATTATCTTACAAGAAGGAATACAGCATAATCTATCCTGATGAAGTGAGAAAAATGTATACAGTAAGTAAACAAGTAAAAGCTTTTATAGATATGATAATGAGAATACACATCATTTCACGAGAATAGTCTTTCCATCTTTAACAAATTATATGTATTTTAATATGGCGTTTAACATTTGAGTCATTTAATATGTAGGCGTTAAAAACTTTCAGCCTCTTAGGTCATGTCACATAAAAATGCGCTGAGGTTTCAACAATAACTTTTTTTTAAATATATTAAAATAAAATTAAAATAAAAAAAAATGTAACGAATGTCAGTTGAGTCATACATGTATCGGAACGTATAAACTACAAACATTTTTTTCGGAACACGAAGTTAAAAAATAATTCTCATACAGAAAAAAAGTGCATCTGTATACAATTATCTATAAAGATGGTTGATGAAATGGTAAACGTATTATCAGAGACATTTTTCGATTCAGCATCAAAGTTACAGTGTCAAAGAGTAAACGTATCAAAAAAAGAAAATTTCAGTAAGTATTTTTCAGAATCAGAGATTGAATTTCACTGTTTATAGAATAAATAATCAAACTATTAAATCCGAAAGTAAATTATAACTGTGGATAATTAATGGTAGTGACATCAGTTTACAACATTCGAGGTAGTAATTGTATATTTCTTCTAAATACTAGGGCTTTTTTCCTTAGTATAGTACTTAGAAATTCTGATAGAGGATAAACAAGGTTAATACATTTCTCAGAAATAATCACAAAGGAGTTAATGTTATGATCAGTTGATAGTTGAAGATTTTTAAGCTGCTGATTAGACGAATAAGTGAAATACTGTAGAAGTGCGTCTCTTCTATGATAATTAAATCTTTAGGATTGTTTAGGAAACATGACATAATGACCAATAGCACAAACATTAATTTTGTTTTCATATGTTCACCTTTTTCCCTTTTTTACACTATGTAACTAAGTAATAGTGAGTTCTGTTCAGGATTATGACGAATCACACCGTCACCATAATCTTTAATTTTATATGTAATTTATATACAGCTAGTTCAACAAATACTAGACTAGCTATCAAAGTAGCAGTATGAATTAAAAACATGAATTTATGTACATGTACTAATGTATATCAGGCGTAGAAGATACATTCAAAAACTATTTGAACAAGCTAGTAATAGTTAATGTATGGTGATTAAAAATGTTATTCGGCACACAACATTATTAAAATAATCTTGTTTAGTCAATTTGAACTGCTGTTTGAAAATACTAGCAAAGCATCTGGCGCAGTAAATTTATTCTTCAACTTCAGTTTATTTTAAAGGGATTTAGAATTTCTTTATCATTACAATTTCAACTTAACCAGTAAAAACAACAACAGCAGGTGTAAACTAATGGTTGATTCAATTTTCTTACATTTATTCAAGTTAAGCGGTCAAGACAAGTTAGAATTGGCCTTCGCAATAAATTGTATTTGTCTTGTTAAAATGATAACACTATTTTTGGATTAAAGAAATATTCATGTAAATTATTCACGATATGAGAGGTTTGAAGAACCATATTTGAAAGAGAAAGATAGACTTTTTGCAGTATTCCGTCAAGGAACCCAAAAAAAAAAGGGAATCATTAACTCTATTCTACTACATAGAGAGTATTATATTATCGAGCTGATAGTTCAAATCATCACATCTTTCATATACTTTCTTTCCATTTCTAAAAATGAATATAAACTTTTTTCATTAACTTCATTTTAAATATACTTGCTACCCTGACTGATTTGTAAATGTAGATATTAGTTATAATTAGGTAGTAAAGTAGTATGAAAGAGAAACAAGCTTATTTATAATATCGTTAACATTCGAGTAACAGATTTAGTTTTGATAAGTTATAATAAGTAGAGAAAATTATTCTGTCATCATTATAAGTCAGTAATTCAATCTCAGAGTTCTTTTTTTATCTATTCTTCAGCCTTATGTGCATATGAATTATTCTAGACTCTCTGTGCCTGGAATTGTTACTAGTAAACAATGCTTCTGGAAAATCAGCATCCAGTATGTTATTCTACCTTTCATCTTTCTGCATTCATTCAAAACTCACTACTAATCATTTCGAGAACTATCCAGACACTATTGCTAAAAAAACAATTCGTCACAATAATATGAACAGATGTGTTTTGATGTTTGTCGCGTACAAATAAAGAAGCTTAACTAACGAACTGTAAACAGTCTCCAAAATTTTTAAATCATATAGAATTCGATAACATTGTGAAGAGTAGAATTTTTCCAACATATCTTAATGTTCGTTCGTACATAATCTGATCAATTATATCCATATGTAGCAAGAAGATAATGCCATTTCTACTGTCTACCAAAATGTTTTGTTATTTATTGCTATAAATGACTTTTACCCAGGGTAGAATAGATAAACTTTACCGTGTCTACATCCGGTAAATAAGTAGTTATGATTAACATGTTTCGAAATAACAAGGACATTGTTTACAGTAATACTATTTTGAGGAAGTGTATTCGTGTACACTTACAACATGTTGAAAAAATGTATGAAATTCTGTCCATGAAATACATTTTCCGATATATAAGAATGTAAAGGGTAAATTAGAGAAAAAGTAAAATGTTTAATGCTTTCCAGTTTTCTGTGAGAAAAATTGATTTCTAACAACATATGTTTCATTAAAGTGAATTAGTAGAATAAGTGATTTACAAGAAATTTAGACTCATTCAAAAAACAAGACAAGCTTAAAAGCTGGTAGCAAAATATGAATATAAACATTCTATTACATCATCAGTATCATGTCAGTTAAACTAATCCGCTGCTTATCTGATAACACGAAACCAAACTGAGTAAACCGAATGTTACTTAACTTCATGTATTTATCATTTACGAGGTGTGTTTGAATACTGACAAGAAGACTTTTCTGATAAGGTTGTCCTATGAGATGTGAAACGGTTTCAACTAACGGTAGTCGTAACTTATAACAAAAGAACCAGTGAAATTTAAATACAACAGACAATCAGTTATAATATGAATTAGAGTATATCAATTAATCTAAACTTGATTGTAAGTCATAATTTTGGACATGGTTATGCGTTCAATCAATCGCCGTCTGAGGTAGTTACGCGATGATTGCATGAAAAATGCCATATGTTTCTTTTAAAACATTTGGTAAACAGTGAACATAGCAGAAATACCTTAGCTACAATCAGTGACGATATATCATCCATCCAATGCACTTTCTTTTGAATGTTTGCCTACAAAAAATACAGGCTACTGTAGGCTCCCGTTGTAGTTCCTAAAGATAGATCAAAAGGTTACTATCTCATTACTCTGTGCTTTTGACTAGTATGCAAGTACTACTTTTTTTTACTCGTTGTGTTCACTTCATCTTTGCTGTAGTAACAGCATTAATTTTACTAGTTCACCATCGACTGATCATGTAATTCATTCTTTATCGATCCATTTTATTTTGTATGTAGCCGAACACACTTATCTGTCTGTAGCGTTTAGATGGAATTATTATGCATGATATAACATGTAATCACTTATTCTGCAATTATTTTGTTTATCAAACATGAACTATATACTTTCGAATATTATTGTGTAAAGTGTGTCATTTTAGTAATGACAAAAAAATAATTTATTTGTTCAGGCTGTATAAGCAGCTGTTGGTTAAGAAATTGTGGAAATAAGATGTATTTAAGAAAAAGGATTGTATTTATTTTTCAATCAACAATTTTAGCAATTCTTTCAATGTTTTTCTATTCTATAACATTCACTTCATTCTAATAAAAACATTGAACAGTGATAGGCTTTTTTTCTGTACATAGATAATTTTACAAAGTAATTCAACTAGGTGATGAATGAAATGGAATTTAACCTATTGCTGCAATGGATAAGGTAATAAAATATAACCTTAATATAGAGAATTCAAGGTTTTTGACATTGCCTTGCTTCTTTCATAAATACATGCATTAAATTATCCAGTACAAGTATCAAATTCTTGGTAATAATATATATAGAAAGAAGATAATCTCTTGTAAAATCAGCAATGATGCGTGTGTGTGTGTGTGGCATTTTGTGCAAGAATCGACAATATGTTCTACCTGATCAATTTTCATGCATAACATGCATACAAATCATGTAAACATCACTAAAATATGCATAACTAAATAGGGCATAAGGATTTAAAACTACCATTGGTTTACTATGCCACATAAGGTACGCGTTAAGGAAGCTAACGAAATAAGTAATCAATAAGATGTACTATGTACCAGGAAGTATAAATGTAATTATCATGAGTAAATTAATTGCATGGAATAGTCATCCTAGTATTCATAATAATTTTATTACTTACAAGAATAATTGATGAACTTATAACTAGATCTATAGTTTATAATTATTGTAATTAATAGGTGAAGATTTTTGTACCTGATTTTGAACAACAGTGGTTATGTGGTGGAAAATGAGTGTTTCAAACATTGAGGTATAGTTCTACAATGTAAAAAGTAAATTCTATAATAATGGTGGTACGCATTAATTAGGACCGTTTGTTTCATAAAAAGTTTTGTTATCAGCCTTTTAAACGTACCCTGACGTGGTGGTCAGGCTTGCCTATCGTGATGACCCAACCGAGCTATATTGGCTGGAACATATGTTCCTGAAGGTTTTACCATGCCAGGCAGGTCGGTTGGAGAACGACGAGACTAAAGGTAACTACCCAAGGTCTGAGGGCGAAGTCGTACTGCTGACTGCAGAGGGGTGGGATAGCAGTAAGGTGTTTCCCTCGGACAACAAGCATCTGCAGAGATGCTGCCTCCTCACAAGGAAGGGGTTAGAAAAAGGTTGACCCTAAAAATGTCACACCTTACCTTACCTCAGGGATTTCCGTCTCCGTCGGTAAGGACTACCCAATAAGGGCTTCAAAGAGAGGAGCTAATACTGGAAAATCCTTTC